GGAATTGTTGTGTTGATCTGGCTTTGGTATGGCTTGTTTGGAAATGTCATCATCGTGAGTGGAAATTTGGGATTGTTGTTTCAACCATTTTATACGATCTCTGGTTTTGGCACGCTCTTTCAACATGGATTGTTCATCACACAAACGGTATGAGCCATGTTTTAATGTTTCACGAAGAAATCTGGCTTCCATGGCTTTGGTCAAGGCATCTGCTAATTGGGCACCTGTGTGAACCCAGCGGAGATTGATCCCCTCTCGGAGGGTTTCCCTAATTGCCCTGGCCACCAATTGAACTCGAAACTCCGAGCACTGTGGTGGTGCCGTCCTTGTTATTAAATCGTGCAAGCTCTTGCAGTCAGTTACTGCAATGTCATCGGCAGAGGGCAGGGTGGCAACTGTGATGGCTGGTTCAACCTTCATGAGTGCATCTTCAGGACGATGCCATTGTGTGGCTGGGTCGTGTAGCCACTTCCAGTACAACCGCAACCAGCTAAGTTGATCTAACGCTGATGCCATGGAAATGGTTTCTGCTGAAAGTGTGCTGGTGACGACCTTTTGGATCTTTTTGCTTCCCCAAATTAATGGGCTAATGGGGCATTCCACATTCTCTGAGATCTTCTTATGGGTACCTACAATAATGCTACCGGCATAGGAGTAGGGTTTTGAGCTGGATGCAAAGGATGCGTCAGAAAACACCATAAACCTTAGATCTTCATGGGGTATGGACGTAATGGTAATGGTGGTATCATGATACCTCTTGGCTTCATGGAGGAGTCGATTGGCTTCTGCTAGCGTTTCAATTTGAGCACTGTTGATTTGGGATTGTAAACTGGACAGTCTATTTGAAAGGTCAGGACGTGTGTTGGTGGAAGCATATTGCAATGAACCAATTAATCCTCTCAAAAGACCGCGTTCTTTTTCGTTGATTGGAAGTTCAGGCTGAGTCTTACGGTTTACTTCGATTGGAATTGGAGGAATTTTACGAATGTAGTTGGATTGATTGAGAGTGATGTTAAAACTGGGATCCTGATTTACTTCAATACCTGTAAAAGTGAAAGAAGTCATCTTCTTGGCTCCAAAAGGGTATTTTCGCTCCAGTAGATTGATCACATGCTGAAATTTTTGGTTTCCTCCGCATATGCCATCATCTACATGGATACCCAGTACCCCCGTGATGGGTCCAGTCGCTGGACCAATACCTGCTGGTCTGGGCTGATCATCGTCAGGCACATATGAATCTTCACGGAGCACAAACACGCAGGGATCAAATGGGCAAGATTCCATTCCCAGTCTGGTCAATTCCTGGACAAGAGCACAATACCACAAATATGGAGCATCGATTAGGCCATGGGCTCCCTTTTGCAGTCTTGCTATCTCAGTAGATTTCATGTTTAATGCATCTCGGAGCTCACTCACCGGGTCAATTAGGATTAATCTATCTTTTTGGGGTTGGCCCTGTAGAAATGCCGCCTTTATATCAAAGGATTGCAAATGCCAGCCATGTGATGCAATTGTTTGAAGAATGACCATGGGTGAGGATCTACCAAGAGTGGGACTATCTCGGGGAATTTCTTCTAAGTGTGGGTCTAAATAACCTAACACTACGATTCTGGCTTTGGCTTTACACTGTTTGGAATTCTGACTGTCTGCACCTCCGTCAGCAACATCAAGTGGCCTCCATGTTAAAATCCATCTGCATCGTAGGATTTGATCAGCTGGAATCTGATCCCGCATTATGACCGACAGGGTTTCGGTTTTGATCCAGTTGCTCACTTCAACCTGCTTGGCAGCCTCGAACTCTTTCCGCTCACTGGGGGTGAGCTCTGACAGTCGTACCTCAGTTCTCTGTTTCTTGGCATTGGTGGCTAAGAGGACCCATGCTTCCATAGGAGTTGGTATCTCCTTAGCAAACTCAGGTGGTACAGACATGTCATATTCGCACCTCCATGCGAGATGTTGGTCATCGCTGCTGGCCAATGCACATCCTTCTTCGGAGCAGGTGAAGAAGCTGTCTGCTTGATCTGTCGGAGATTGTGGGGTCAATTCATCAGGATTCTGGGTTATCTCTCTACTTGGTGCCTCGGGCTCTTGATCCGGTTGTTGCAAGGATTCACTTGCACTGCTGTCATGTGGATCTTGTTCAGATGTAGGGGCTTGATGGTCTGCTGATGGCGTTCCTGGTGGCAACATGATGGTTGGTGTTTCAAAGGGTTCATGTTCTGGGATCGATTGCATGGCATCAGGATTCTGATAACTGCGGTTAATCTGTTGTTGAATTTGTGTCATGTCCTCCGGCAGATCGGGCCCATCGGGCTCTCCTTCTTCTGGGAGTGCCAACCGCACATTCTCTGGAGCACTGCGATAGAGTTTTCCTGCCTGGGTCGTCCATATAGTGTGGTTTTCATCTTGGATTACTACTCTGTGGGGACCTATCCAACTTTGTTTTTGGGGACCCGTAGAACGCCAAATCATTACCCACTGATTTTTATGGTACTGCCCCCTGGAAGGACACGACCGGCGAAGCATTGCCCTTCTCAGTGCATCACTGTTGTCAGCTGTGTGGAAGGCTTTCCTAGCTACCTCTCGGAGCTTGAGTTGTGTTCGGAACTCCTCGGTCGTATATTCGGCATTTTCTTGGATGGCTGCTGTATGTGCTGGTAGCGACGCATCACTGAGCACCGAACCTGGGAGTCGGCTTTGTTTTCCAAATACCATGATTTCGGGACTGTACCCGTGTCTTATCATCATGCTATTTTTGGCCTGGCAACATTGATTCAACGCAAGTTGAAGTTGTTGATAGCTGGATATGGGTACCTCCATGTCCACTTTTGACAACATGTGTTGTAGGAAACCTCCATGACGTTCTATGGTTCCATTCTGCCAATGAGCTTCGGGTGCAACTGTCGTACATCGAATGGAAAAACGTTGAAGAAATTGTTGGAATTCTTCACTGTTGAGTTCTGTACCTGAATCAACCTTCATTTCTTGGGGGGCTCCAGCCCAGTTCAGCCAATGCTGATTCAGCAAAGCAATCACATCTCTGGTGGTATGTGATGGTGCAGCAAACGCAGTGTGGAAATGGGTTCCCGCATCTATGACATGATATAGTTGAAAACTTTGTCCCAGTTGATTGGTCCATTTAATCCCATCAAGATATATTCGATGATTGAAATCTAACAGGGGTTTCAACCTTCCGGGTCTTTGATGCTTGGGGCCCGTGCTGTTTGCACATATGGAACATTTGAGCTCCAGTGCGGCCTTCACCATTTCCAGTCTCTGTCCATTGGATTGCAACGCACGTGCAAGTCTTTCATTGGAGGGGTGCCCTAAATTCTTGTGAATGGTCAACAACTGGCTTTGTTCCCATTTCGGCAAGGCTTGAAATTGGCTACCCTGTTCTTGACGGTTAATCTCACTTGGCACACATTCGGTTTTGGGAACAGAGGCCGTACTCGTGGTGTCACGTTGTGGAGGTTCATCGCCATCCGGTGGTGCTTGGTGAACAGGCGGCACTGATGCGATATCAAAATCGGCTGGCATCGGTTGATCAGCGATTACAGTCTCGCGGCTGGTACTGACTTCCGGTGGTGTGCTGGGCTGTCCGGGTGTCTCCCTGGCTTCAAAGTCTTTGGCAAACACTGTGATGTTGATACGGCACGGGTGTGCTGGTCGAATCAGTTGTCTATGAGACAACTCTGACCACTTTTCCCATTCTCTCTCATACTTGATCTCCCCGGATGGCCGGAGAATCATTATTGTTTTACGGTATGGTGCAAGGGTAGGTTGGAATTCGTCAGGTGGTGGTAAGGTTCGATCTGTGCCCCTGCATGCTACAGCTGTGATGATTTGACGAGCTGGAAAAATGGATTGCAGTTGTTGAAGAATGGTGGAACTTTGAATCTCACGTTTACCAACCCTGGGAAGTATCTTTTGGATTTCTTGAAGCACTTCCTGACATTCCTTTAAACTTGGTACAGGTCCTTGTTTACCTTCCAGTCTTCTACGTTTCACACCGGTCTCATCACTTTCCTCCGGAGTCGACAGCTGGGAACGAGCAAACTGGTTACGGCTGCGGTGCTTGGCTGGCCTCAGAACCATTCGCTTCTGACTGGCAGCAAGGGCTGGTGCCTCTTCACCTTTGGTATGTTGACACAGTGCAATCCCGGGGCGCCAGTGAAAGGGCCATTGGTGGTCATTCTTGTTCAACGTCTTAGCAACCAATCCTACAAACTTTCGTGGATATATTTCTGAAAATTTGGTTCTAAGAACGGATTGGCCATGAGCACATGTTGATCCTTCAAGTTGCTGATGGGTATGGTTCTTGCGGCATGTTAAACCATGGAGAGCTCTGAACAGGGGTTCATGAGTGGTTACGACTTGCATGCCCTTTTTCATATGATTGTGATTTACTGGGTCCCTGAGGTCTCCGGCTTCACACATGTCAAACTGGCTAACCTGAGTATGTTGGTGGATCTCACTGATTCCTGGTTGTATCAGCATTAGTGATCTTTGGGGTTGTTCCCAACTGAAGTGAAGTCCCCGTGATACTTGATATCGATACAGTACAATCCCCAATGCAATTTGATAGCGGAGGTCATTTCGCTTTTGTTGATATTCCCATTGAGCTTCTATGGACTTACTCGCATTGAGGGCTGACCATGAGGACCATGGGCCGCAAACTGGATTGTACCACAGGTGCTTGGGTCGGTGACATGCAATGGTTCGGAACAGCTTCTGGCGACCACTTGTGGTGGACAAATCACCCTGTGCCAAGCCAAATCGGAACGCTTGATGTCCCATGTTTTGGATCTGCTGAGTCAATGGTGACTCACTGCTGCAAAAGATTTCACCTACCAAAAAGGGCTTTCCCAGTGGTTTGCTATCCTTTTGAACCTCCTGGAATTCTTTGGTTATTTTATGGATTAATCTTTGCAGATCCCTGACATCATTGTGAACAGTTTGACAGGACTCCGCGATCAGTTCATCTTCAGGTTGATGATCTAGTCCTTCTGGGCATTCTTCTCGGCCTGGTCCTCCAGGTGCTTGATCACTCGGCCAAGAGCATTCTCCATGTGAAGCATGCGCTCCTGGAGAGCTATGACATTCGGATCCTGAACATACGGAGTGGCCCCCGTAATCCCCTGGTTGTACATCTCGAAGGCTTGCTCCTCGTCGATGTCCAGTGGAAGATCCATGGATGCCCCAGATGGAGCCATCTGCCTTGCTTTGGCCTTTGCTTGGATGGATCTGTGTCCAGAAGTCTCGCTGATCACGGTGTAACTTCCTGCCAGTGACTCTGGTGGTGGAAACACTGGCACCTGGGTATTCATCTGCTCGTGATGCTCCACCATCAACTCCACAAATCGGATCAGGCGTCGATGTCCGAGTGTCTTGCTGTTCCCGTACTTGGCTGTCATGAAACTGATCCACCCTTGGTCTTCCCAGGCCTTCTCGTACGTTTCGCCCTGGTGCTTGGACCCGAAGGTCACAACCTCGGACTTCAGATCTGCCAGAGTCAAATGAGACAGATCTGGGAGTGGGACTTCCACTTCGGTCTGCAGGGCTTTCAGTCGGCTGATCAGAGACATGGCTGGTCTCTTTCGGGTGGTTGGCTATGATGTCGGGCACTTGAACCGCAGGCTGATGGTTGAACACCTGATTGACGTGGTTTTCCTCTGACACAAAACCAACGGACCTGTGAACCTTTGCCTCATGACATGTTTCTTGGTTTTCACTACGGTGGAACATTTCTGACATGTTGAATTTCTGAACTTGCACTTCCTCGGACTGGGCGTCGGCTGATGTTTCTTCAGGGCCACGGCTGTCAGTGCGAGTTGCAAGGAAAGTTGACTCGACCAGCTTCGTGTCGAGCTCTGCGGATGTGTGCTGTTTCATGGCTGCTTTGACAAGATCATTTAAATTGACTAGAAAAAGACCTCGTTCGGCGAGTTCCAATGGAATTTCATGATTCAGCACCGGACTGGAAAGGCTGTACTTGGAGCAATCGATGGTGGCCCTAATGGCTCGCATGAACGTGTTGCTGATGAGGAAGGGCGTCCCTCCTTGCACGATTGCTATCTTCAGCTTCAGATGGCCTATGGGAACAACAATGGCTTGGCTGCTGGTCAGTGTACCTTGGTTACCAAACTTAAAAGTCACCTGACACGGACATCGTGACAACCGGGCACGAGTCTCCTCATCCAGACTTTGAATTAGGCACTTCACGTGTTCTGACCCAATTACGGTCTTTGACGCACCAAGGTCAAGCACTCCACAGGCATCATGAGTTGCAAAACAAATTGGATTGGTGGGTAAAACTGTTTGATCTGCAGCGTTAGTCATTCGAATGGAACCAGCCTCGTCTAAAACTGCTGCCTTGGGCGTGACCCTATCAGTTCTTGAAACGACGGGCAAATCATCTACAGACCTGGATTTCACGGTTTCTCTCAGCTGGAAGTCAGTTGGCATCGTTTGGCGTCCCTCAGTCCTAAGGAGATGGCTGCGCAAACGGTCTTTGGCTGTGAACTTCGTGGACCCAAAACTAGTATATGATCTCTTGATTCTCCCAGAATACGTCCCCGATAGCTATACTTGACATGATCCTGCATGGGTTCACATGTAAAACAAAACGACAAATTCGGCTTGGGCTCATCTATGGATGTCTCAGGCAAATCAAGGAACTCGAGAGGAAGACTACTGCCACTGTTGGTTGTGATCACAGTGGACGTCGGTGCAGTCGATTTAGCTTCAGTCGAGTTGGCACTTCCCTGACTTTTGAGTGGGCATTCGGCCTTCCAGTGGCCTCGAACTCCACATAGTCGGCATGTGGACGACATGATGCGTTCTTGCAGAGTCTTTTTTGGTCGATTGTCATGAAATTTTCCTTTGCCAAAAGGCTTTCCACCATACCCCTTACCCTTGCCAGCATAGGGTTTTGCAGGAAAGAACCCCCGATTTCGGAATTTTTCTCCCATGCGATGTCGAGCCTGCTGATATGCTGAAAATGCTGTGGCCAGCTCACTGTCCTCCTGAACGGTCTCCTGGGCTGCAGCTTCAAAGTCTGCAATCAACAGAGCATCTTGATCTCCTTCTTGAATCAAGGTCTCAAGAAATTCAGCCTCAGCGGCCTCATCCAGTGGGGCGGTGCCTAGATCGGACTCAGCTACGGCTGCATGATCGGTGACGGTGTCAGCCATGAGGGTCGTCCCATCATAAATCTTAGTTCTGGCAGCTTTGCGGCCAGTCATCTCATGGAAAAAGCTTGCACCTAGAACCCTAATGGCTTCATGCACACTCTTCATTGCCAGTTGACCTGAAACCTCACTGTCCATGATGACACGTTTCTTCTCATCGGCTGACAGCAAGGATCCCCGCAACACAACGTATGCTTGAATCTCCTCGATCTTCATCTTCCTGGCTAACAATCGACTCCACATCACATCAGCTCGGGCCAAATATGAGTCATTGGCCTCGTCAGATTTCTGTATCGTGTGATACAGGGCCTGCTCTGCATCCTCATACTGTCCATACTGTCGTTCCAGTGGTATCTTCCCCCACTGACCTCCCAGATGCACTATCAGCTTTCGAACACATTCCTCATCGCCTTTGAGAAGCTCCGTCTGATGTATCTGCAGTTTCTGGAATGCCGTGCCCTTGCATCCCAGGATGAGACGTGTGATCAGTTCCTGAAGCTTCCCCTTAGGCCATGCGGCCAACACCAGTTCGACTTTTTGCTGATAAATCAAAAGGTCATCCGTGGCCGGGTCAAAGGTCGGTACCAGCGACGATAACTAGTTGCTCACGCTCGAGCTCCCTGTTTCAGATGCTGATGACATCGTTGTCCCGGATGCCCCCTTTCGGGGGCTCCGCTACCAATGTAAATGGCAGCAACTCCAGTTGTTGAGAATGATGACAACTCTGTTGTTGATCGAATGCCAAAATGATTAAATCAAATGTCCAAAAGATCAAACTGCAAACGTCCCACCACGCTCAGTGCAATCTCTGTTTTCCAATGCCAGCTGAAAGTGCAAAAGTCCCGGACTGAGAGCACAGGGCTGGATGGTTTCGGTCTCAAGCTTCCAAAAAGGTTGTTTCAGGCTCCCTGGCCTATTGTATGTGGTCCCTGCCACACGTGCCCTATGGCTGCAAGGATCTAGGAAACCCACCCAGCCCTCACCTGACTTGCCCTGAGCCAAAAGCTCCTTGAGTCGCACAGCTGAGAGAAGGTTCGATTGGAGAACCTGGGCATGGTACTGTTTCTAAATTGGAAAATCACAATATATACTTATATATATATATACTTATATATATATATATACATATATCGCACTGTATCACTACATCCCATCACATGCCATGATATGCCATTAGATTCTTGTTGTATTCCATGATATCCCATGGTGTCCCACGATATCCCATCACATGATATAATAATATAATATGTACATATATATATATATAATTATATATACATAATATTGTATATAATATAGATATCCCATTGTATCCCATTATATTCCCAGTGGTTTTGCTTGCATTCCAATGTATTCTTCCCGTCACGTTGGAGTCATCTTCGCTCCGCCAGTTCCTCCGTCACGTCTCCATGATGCAGCTGGATACCCCGCGGGCCGCAGGGCCTTTGAAGGTGCCGACGGGGTGCCAACTGGGTGACGGGGGGACCAGGAACCATCGCTGGGGAACTGAGAATGATGAGTAACGGATTTCGACGTATCCTATGATCAGATAAACGCATATACACATTTATATATGTGTGTTTTGGATCTAAGATGATCTAAGGGGCTGGCATGTCTCTGGCTGCAGGTCTCCCGCAGAAAAGGCGCTTTGGTTGTGGAGGGTTCGCATGCTGAGAAGGCGCGGTGTAATTTCGGCAGCACTATGCTGATGAAATGGTTGTAAGTGAAAAAAAAATGTGTGTATATTATATATATATATATATATTATCATATAGATAGATCCATGTTGAGTATGTTACAAAGCTTCAAATACAAGACTGGGACTAATACTTACAGTTACCATTTAGATTTCTTTCAACGCCTGAAAATAAGAAAGGGGTGAAATGATGCATAGTATCCAGTGTAGACCCGTCGACTGGCCATGCAGCCATGGACATGGAAAACAAAAACTGTGCAGCTTCTTCAAACGGATGACAAAATATAGATTTTAGTAGCTTTGTTTGTTTGGAGACACTGTGCAGGTGATATACTAAAGTTCCTGAAAAATAGGGGAAACGCGAATTTAGGGGTTCAGGGGTTTCAGGGTACAGCAAGAAATCCATTAACGGCGGACTGGTTGAATCTGACTTAGCTCCTCAATGATGCACATGTGCAGCCATCACAGGTCAGGCAGCTTTCCGACTTGGACTGGCTCTGATGGGAAAACTCGCGGGCCACTGGCCACGTAGGATCTTACCTATATATCTATATATATATACATGGAAAAACCTGCTTGTCCTGAAAGCAGCTGACCACTTAGTAAGTAGTTATTTGCAAATTGGAAATGGATGTTTCAGACTTCACAAGCATCACTTGGTGTTTGCTGATTCTTCATTTTGGTTAATCCTGACTTTCGCAAGCCGCAAGTGTCACTCACAGTGCTCCTGTTTCGTGCAAGAAGCGCGAGCAGAACAAGGCAAAACTGTACTGCAGGGCTTCAGCATGGTTTTTCTTGAGGAATTGAGAAAATTTGCCGCAAGGCTATGCCAGTTTTGGCCCACAGCTAAGGCAGCAATGCTGGACCGCGATTCGACCAACGAAGCCCTAAGCTCAGTGCTCTTGGATGCTCTTGGCGACCTCACCAAGATCACACCAGAATTGATGGTTACTAAGGGGAGTCCAAGAAAACTCAGTTTTGGAATCACTATGGTTGCCAAACACTGTGATTCCTGCGAACCACAAATCTAAAGAACAATCCAGGACTAGTAACTAGTTTTGGCAAGACTTGGCAAGTACAAAAGAGAGAAGTGACACACAGTGCCTCCACTTTTCTTCGATTCATGTTTGTCTCGCGTTTTTTTTAATGGCCGTGGCTAGCCACCACGAGGTCCGGATTGAGAGGCTCAAAGACCAGCGTCTTGGCATCATGGACGGCTGACAAGACATGCCTGGAAAATCCAGACACGGAGTAGTTCCTTTGGCAGTGTGTTCGTTACTGTAAGGGTTGAAGGATAAAAGACCTTGTGCGTATATTATGTATATCTAGATGCAAATAAAAGTTAATTACTTTACTTCGAGTTATCCCCACCATGACATCTATACGTTTTATTACTGGCAAATCTTCTGGCATTCTATCTGACATATCTTCTGGCATTTTATCTGGCATATCTTCTGGCATATCTTCTGGCATTCTACCTGGCATATCTTCTGCAATATGTTCTGACATATCTTCTGGCACTCTATCTGGCATATCTTCTGACATTCTATCTGGCATTCTACCTGGCATATCTTCTGCAATATGTTCTGACATATCTTCTGGCACTCTATCTGGCATATCTTCTGACATTCTATCTGGCATTCTATCTGGCAAATCTTCAGGCATATGTTCTGGCAAACATTCTGGCACTTTATCTGGCATACCTTCTGGCATTCTATCTGACATTCTATTTGGCATACCTTCTGGCATTCTATCTGGCATATCTTCTGGCATTTTATCTGGCATATCTTCTTTCTATCTGGCATATCTTCTGGCATTCTACCTGGCCTGGCATATCTTCTGACATTCTATTTGGCATACCTTCTGGCATTCTATCTGGCATATCTTCTGGCATTTTATCTGGCATATCTTCTTTCTATCTGGCATATCTTCTGGCATTCTACCTGGCATATCTTCTGGCATATGTTCTGACATATCTTCTGGCACTCTATCTGGCATATCTTCTGGCATATCTTCTGACATTCTATCTGGCATTCTATCTGGCAAATCTTCTGGCGTTCTATCTGGCAAACATTCTGTCACTTTATCTGGCATACCTTTTGGCATATCTTCTGGCATATCTTCTGACATTCTATCTGGCATTCTATCTGGCATATCTTCTGGCATTCTATCTGGCAAACATTCTGGCACTTTATCTGGCATATCTTCTGGCATTCTTTCTGACATTCTATCTGGCGTTCTATCTGGCATATCTTTTGGCATTCTATCTGGCCGTTGAGGGCCAGCGGTGCTCACTGAGCTCGGAGGGTCCCAGGTTGAGGTCCAGCGGTGCTCACTGAGCTCGGAGGCTCCCAGGTTGAGGTCCAGCAGTCCAGCGGTGCTCACTGAGCTCGGACGGTCCCAGGTTGAGGTCCAGCGGTGCTCACTGAGCTCGGAAGGTTCCAGGTTGAGGTCCAGCGGTGCCCAGTGCGCTCAGACCCTTGCAGTTGAGGTCCAGCAGTGGCCACTGCGTGCGGAAGTTGGCGAAGAGCTTGGCGAAGAGTTGGCAAGGCGGAAGTGGAGATGGAAGTGAAGGCAGAGGCGGTGGAGGAGAAGGAGGAGGAGGAGAAGGAGAAGAAGGAGGAGGAGGAGAAGGAGGAGAACAACTCTGATACAATCTAACAACCCTCACCTGGCAGGTGGGGAAAAAAGAACACAGCAGGCACACACTAGACAAGAATGGATCATTATATGATCCGGCAGGAACTGAATCCTGAAACATGCAAACCAGCCTAGATCGTTAGATTAGTAAAGGAGCCATATGAGGTACTTCTCGAAAACGATGTAGGGCATCCAATATTGTCAAACGTAGTTAAAACCAGAGTCCAAAGAGTTTTGACCAGCATGTTGAAAATCCAAAATAATGTTTCGGCGATTGTTTCCCAAAAAGACCCAAAGTTCGTCGGCG